AGAGGGAAGTCGAGAAAATGAGAATCGCTAAAACGGGCGTTTTTGAATATCGCTAGAATTCACCCCATCTTTGGGGGTCGATATCTCGCGAACGGGGCGTCAGATGGGAAAACCCTTCAAATTAGTTTCTTATAATGATGTAAAGACCCCGTATACCAATTTTCAGCCAAATCGGAGGGGGTCGGGTTCCGAGCCTGGTACAGTTGACGTGGAATGTGTTTTCCTTTAGAGTACCCATATACCACAATGAGCACTAGGGAAAAATTTCCATTAAAAATTGGGATTTTGTTTCACTGAAAAAGAAGAGCAAAGTTTAAATTAATCATCAAAAGGATGCGGAAAAGTCCTGGAGGATTGTAAATCTTGTAAAGCGAAAAAGCTAACAAGTTTGTGGACTCTGCAGAGACCAGAAGTGCAGCACATTCTCAATCCTGCGATCGGTGGATTGCATTTGAAAGTGGGTTATAAAAATGAAGAGGCTTGAAAATAAATGAGAGGGGGTTTCAAAAATGGAAAAACCGGCTTATGCCAACTTAAAAATTGCTCAGTTTCTGATAGAGTGCAGCAATACATTAATAAAAAGAAAGAAACAGACAAATTCATTACTTTGAAGATGTTTCAAGGTGAGAGGGCTACCTAAAAAAATGGGAAGGGTTAGAACTTTCCGCATCCCTAGGCTGGGCACCATTCACTCAAAATTGGACCGAGTTTAACAGGAAGGAACCAAGCCACATCAGCTATTCCCAAATTAAACAGGGCAATTTAATTTTTTACGAGAGATCCTTTGTGCGGATTCCTTTGAAATTTTAAAGGAATTTGCTTCAAACTATGGAGAATTTTCACTGAAATTTTCACAAAAATCTGCACAACCTTTTTCATGAAAAAAATTAACGAGTCCGGTTAAATTTGGCAGTAGCTGATGTGGCTTGGTTCCTTTCTGTTTAACGCGGTCCAATTGTCATTAATTGAGGAGTTGGGAGGGTAATGTTGTTAATGGACACTTGGAAAAAATTGGTCTTCAAGGACAGTTATGGAGGATTCTTCAGTAAAACAGTTGAAATGTGCCTCTGAGCGTAATCAAACCGTTTTTAAAGAAAAAATTTAAAAGGGATTCAGTAATTTAGCATACTTTGTTTCACATCTCATTGTTCCTTTGCTTTTGTTGTGGATCCACCTTGACCGCCTATGGGTCTCCTGCATTTTTCTGTTGGGGGGTTGACAAAAATTTGCAGCCCCTGAGATTCAAAAAACATGACCTTCCTTTTAATTCTGCATTTTGCTGTAAAATACCATTGATTTTACTTTGCACGGCAATCTGATTGAGACAAAAATATTAAGTAAAACCCATTGTTATCAAAGCCTGCCCATCATCACCCAAATTCGATGCCTCCAAGTATCAGCAGTGGCCCATGTGGCCAAAAGCAATGGTTGTCCCTGGACTTTGAATGATTCACTCTATGCCTTGGTGTCCAAGAGGAATGGTACTTAGTCTACCTGAGAGAGCACAATGGCCAGCCCAAACGACTAATGGAGCTTGCACATCGTACATTGAGACAAACATCAAAGTATTGCTTACGGTACCACTCATCAGTGGTGCCGTCTGACTGCATGTATTAACCTGTTGAATCGTGCTGATTCAGAGTTAATTAAAGATTGACGTTTCTCTCAACAAATGATGTGCCGTAATGGAATCCAATTTCCATCCAAAATGGAAGAATTGATAAAGTAACAGCATGAACAGATACTTACAACCACAAAGTCCCCACCATATTCTAGAGCACAATGAGCGAGACAACTATACTGAATCAAACTGGTGAAGACTTTGGTAACTTTAGAGAAACAAAAGTTGGGAAAGTTGTAAGAATACATTTAACCGCCACCGATACTTCATGAAAAGATCCAGTTGGCAGCACAGTTTAGTCTGATTCGGAGTGTAAATAAAAAATAGGAAACCACATTGTATATGAGACTAACATGTGAATGATATTTTAACAAGTTTTTAAAGTTCAAATACTTATTATTACTTAGAATTATCAGAAAAACCGGAATCAAAACAAACTGAGAAATTGGTATTAGGTAGGTCAGGTGCAGGTTTTGAAGAGGTTAGGACATTGTTTACATTCGTCGCCATATTGATGACATATTTCAGGGGAATTGAGGAGTGGGAAAAGGGTCAGGAGGAAGAGGAGGGAGAGACTATTGACCTTGAGTTACCATTCTCCAAACATGCGTCATCAACATGGCATCTAGTTCGACCTTGCCTTTACAGTCTTCGTCCCTCTATCCTTCCCGGTCCTCTACGCCGTTCTTTCATCATGGTGTGCTGCTGAAATCTGTACAATGTCAGTGTAATTATAGTGTAATAGTGATTTCTGTTTTCTCTCACGGTGATAGCTGTCATGTCATAAAGTAAACAACACTTCTGATCATCATCAAATCGAAAGTCCTCTCCACTTGCTCAGCTCTCATCTGAAAGTTCCTTCTGTTTGTTATCGGTGCACTCTCTTGATCCCATGCTTACCTAATTCTCTGAACGTTGGTACTTGAATATTAGCTAATCCAGTCAATCAAAATGTTTTCCGATAGGGATGTCGGTGAGTATCTTTTTGTTTGATATAACTCAGCACTAGTCAGTAATACATCAATTCCATAGATGTGCTACTATCAAACTACTGGATGGCATGATTCCTTGTGATTGCGTAAAATGGACCCACACTAAAGCTAGTTCAAATTGACCTGACATCAAAGTCTTGCTACACACTTCGTTTCATCCAATGCATCTATCATTTATAACGTCAAATTTGACTCTGACGTAGTGGGAAAACCTGTGGATAAAGGAAGAAGGAAATTATGGACTGATTAGATTGTCTAATAACCTGTTGGAGGTGTCGTCAAATAAGTTGACATTTGTTTACTTTCGATTCGCAGGTGCTGGCAATGAATTTATGCCTCTGCTTAAAGCGTCATTTGCAACTATCTACAGGAAAATATTCGTCTCATGATCGTGTCGTAAAAAAACTACTTATCAGTTATGATCCGCAACTTTTATGTGGTTGTGATCTCTGCGTAGCTAGAAATCAAAGTGTTACAAGCTTTGAAAGTATTGAAAAACCTATCCAAGCCTGTGTTCGTGCTTCTGTGAGAGTCTGGTGTTTTCATGTGGATAGTAGAAATGCGAAAATGCCGGCAAATCGAAAGTATACAAATGTCAACTTATCTGACGACACCTCTACAAGCTAGAAGCGTCGCTTTAGAAGTTGGCAGTTGCTTACCCTTAGCAAACAACCTCTTAGCAGTCCTTTAATGGTGATCCAGGATTGACAACAGCACGCCTGCCAGCGTTGCGGTGTGCAGAGATGTAACTCCGTCTACTGTGCATGACAGTTTTGCAATATGGCTGAACTCAATTTGAAAATTATCACCTTGTAACAATTTATCACTGATAAATTTATATAGTTGAGAGTCTGAAGAGGGAGGGGTAGGGACGTTTGTTTTTTAAACCCTCTTTCTTGCAACTCCCCGACGAAAATATCACCAACAGCCTTGACTCTACCCTGAAGAAAATGCCTGGGAAGTCAAGAAGAAGTGAGTTGAGGAAACAGCGTTTGGTCCTCAAGACAAAAGATAAGAAATGGACAAAGGCAATCCCTATGGTTTGATGCATTTCTTGACACACTGTACCCAGGTATTAAGTGAAGCCGTTGATTCAATGTCTGCATTTAATGTTCTTTTTCTGTCCCTCTCTTCTGTCATTGTCCGGCTGTTATTCTATCTACGCCTGTACGTTTTGTCTTTTGAAAGTTAATCCTAATCCAGTCTTAAATTGATTATGTAAGTACCCATTTGTGTACCTAAACCACCATAATGTTTGTTAAGGAACTTTGAGCGTCAGATTGAATAAATATGTTTCTTTTTATTTTACAGGGAGCCCACAATCTCCATTTGTATCTCCTTATCTCAACTTCGACCCAGCATATCTCCCAGAGGCAACACAACCTGAATTCATTTTCCCTGAGGGTGCATCTAAGCAGCGAGGAAGATTTGAATTAGCCTTTTCTCAGATCGGGGCATCATGTATGGTAGGAGCTGGAATAGGAGGAGCCTCAGGCTTTTACAATGGGCTTAGGATGACCGTGCTTGAAGGTCAAACTGGCAAACTACGGCGAACACAGTAAGAGTGCCTTCTTAAGCTTTTACACAAGAATCTAAGCTCACTTCTTTATATCGGGCTTTATATTCAAAATGGACTTATTTGTGCTGGAATGATTTTTGTACTTTATTGATTCTAAAAGAATTTTGCACTCAGGATATACAAGCTTCATAGATTCATTTTTAGATTACTTCTTGTAGCCTGATTACACCCAAATGTAGCCTCTCAGGATGTTGAAATCAAAATTGTAAGTTAAAAGGTGCACTTGAATTTCATAATGCAAACTTTACAGTTTTCATAACCCTCTCTTTGTGGCACACTTTGGAAAATGCTTGTGCAGGTTAGTTTGAACTTGCGCAATTTGCTGCACCACACTAGGAATCGGATGCTCAAGGAATGTGGTTCATTTGAGTATAATTATCTCCACAAAATTAAAGTAAATGGAACAACTTGCCCTGTACTAAACAAGGACATCACATAAATTGTACAATTGTACATCTACTGTCCCATCTCTACTAATGTAGAATGACATGATCCATTCACTAAATTTCTTTGGATGCATGTCCAAGAAATTTCTCTCCTGGCAGGAACAAGGCATGCAGTCCAACGTAGAATGCATGTTTACACCACAGTGCATCCAGGTTTTCTATTGTTTGGTTTGGCAATTGGCACTAACTGTAACCTCCTGGAATGATAATGTCGCGTATTGGAAGAGGGAACATGATTTGGCTCCTTCATTCCTTTAACTTGGAAACCCTTTGGACTTCCATTCACTCATGCAAAATGTTCTTTTAAGTTTGTATTACATCCATTTTAACCAAATGTAGAATTAGTTCCGTACGTCAATGATCTCTAATGAAGCCAATGAGCTAGAAGGTACTTCATAAATTCTGATGAACAATTTTTACTAGAAAACTCCCTCCAGTAGTATTTTTAATTTATGATCTTCCATACTTGACAACTTCGTTATATTCTTTTGTCCTCAGGTTATTAAATCATGTAATGAAACGAGGTGCTGCAACTGCTAATACACTTGGCGTTGTTGCTGTTATGTATTCTGGCTTTGGAGTGTTATTTTCTTGGCTTAGAGGATGTGATGATGAGCTTAATACTCTTGGAGCAGCCACAACCACAGGAATGCTGTTTAGATCCACAAGTAAGCAACAACATGCACTATACAATTCAATGATCAAATACCCTTTCCATAATCCTCCAATGGATAAAGTCTGATCGGGAGTCAAACAGAAGGATCTCACCTAATATTAAAATTAAGCTGTTTCAAAAGATCATTTTTTGAAAACTGTCGCTCCCTGAAGCTCAATCTCTTCCGAGGCCAATAGAATAGCTCATTTGCAAAATTTTAGCCTGGTAAATTGAGTTCCTAGAGGTCAAGTATTGGCCCTTTTTAGTATGGGAATTCCCTAAAGGATTTGACAGAAATTGTCCATCAATGTTTTTCTCGACATTTGTACATGAATAATTTTCAAGATCCATTCTAAGATCTTCTTGGATACTCAGATGAGATAGTTGGTTAAGACGAGACTTAGATTAAAGTGGGCACATTTTATAAGTAAGTAATTGGGAGGGTCTTCCTTGGATTATTTGCCCACCTTGTACCTACATCTGCAACCGTTTTTGATATACTATTAAGTATCTTTACTTCTTGCACACCTTGTGTGTCGAACATCATGGAAAATAACTAAATTACTGATTTATTTTGTCCTTCTTTCCTTCAGGTGGGCTGAAAAAATGTGGCCTTGGTGGAGCAGTGGGTTTCGGATTGGCAACTGTCTACTGTCTGATCACCTCTAGAGATAGAATTAATAGCTTCCTTGAAAGTAAATCCTGAGTTCTGACTCAATAATGTTTCTCTTAATGAATGGTAATAATTGAATTTCCATTAGCCAGTCATATTCCTAAAAGAAATTTCACCCTCCGTTCTAATGCTTGATTCTCTTCTTTTGGATTAGCAAACATAAAAGGGGCAAACAAACACAATTTCAAAAACTTTTCGATATTCTGTTTTTGGTTACCTTTTGTTTTAGGTTATTTTTTAGTTAATTTGTGAATTACATTGTCTTGAATAAACTTAGTTTCTGAAGCTATCCTTGTTGTAACTTAGATTTTCGAGCACTAATGTGCACCAAGATAATGGACGTGTTCATGAGATGTAAACCTATGTCTTTTCAAGGAAACAAGTTATTATTTGCTCTTGTTTTAGAAATGTTATCTGAAATCAAAATTGGACTGCATTTTGCAATTTGGAACTGTAAATTCTGGCTCTTCTGGAAAAATACTTTTGTGCATAGGGAAACTAATGGCACATACGTTACCGGCTACAGGGCTAGAATTTTTAGTTCCAAATTGCAAAATGTAGTCCAATTCATAGATCGTCAAATCGTAACAAGATCTGTGTAAGAGTGTCACGTCTCCACAACAGATATTAACTGAGATACAGTCCTTTATAAAATATTGTGAATGACATAATCCATCACTGTTAAAACCATGCTGTGCAATGTTGGAGTGGTGGCAATTGCTATTTTGCTATTTTTTGAAGGGCCTTATCACTGCCAATATTCTGTGTACACACTTAATGTTCTGACCAACCTTACCAGGTTTTGTTGATCGGTACGACTCAACCTCACTGATGGTTCTGCGACTTATAAAATCTGACCCCATTAGCTTAAATGCACCTTTCACTGCTGCAGTACAATGATGGATAAAATGATGACATCATAAATTCATAATGCAGTATACAGTAATGCATTAGTGGCAAATTTTTGCAATTTATCATGCTTGTCAACACCAGCCTGTGTAAATAAAAGACCCTCCAATGGACTTTTTCATTTATTCTATTGGTAGCAATTTGCATCATTTTTTTCTATCATTAATATATGCTCCCTAAGAGAATTTAAAACTAAATTGCTAACAATTGTCGATCGGAGATGAAATAAGAACATTAATCTACCTTCAACTCCTGTCTCCTATTTCATCATGGCGGTAGCTTGCGGCCACATTTCATCAATAAATTCAGAGTGAAATGGGGGAAAAAATAAAAAATTACATGGTTAGGTTTAAATTATCTGTATTTGGAATTCAAAACTGTACAATAAATTTTTCCAAGTAGGAGAAGTGAAATAAAGATTTAAAAAAAAAAAAAAAAAATCTTTCCAAAACTGCTTAACAGACAGAGTTATCTTGAAAGAAACTTTAATTTGTTTTGTACAAGTCAATTTTAATTTATGAAAAATTGCTCATACTTAGGTGATACATAATTGAACTTCATTTTCATGGATGAATTTTAATTTTAATTAATCAATAAAGATGCCTCAGCATAATTTTTCAACAATTTACATTACTCACCTCTAAATAAAAGGGCCTCAATATTAGCCTCAAGAAGCCTGAACGGAAAACTGAATCTGGACCAAACGATTTCTTTCGCCTATGCTGCGACAAAAACCATGTATTTTCCTCTCAAGCGAAGACTTCAGGTTGATTGAATCTGGGATTCTTTCACTTTGTGCCACCCATCTTAAACTTCCTTCACCAGAGACTGATGATAGAATACCTATTTTACAGACAACAGTCATGAATACGAGGAAAATTGATTGTAAGTGGATGACGAGTTTACTTACATTTTAAAACTTCTAAACTATTTTCTAATTAATTAAGATTTTCAAACCAGAGGTTATTTACTTGACCCTGACTTTATAGATGTTGGAATTAAAAATTATCTTTACAAGTGCTGAAACTGAACTTCGATAAAGCGCATGGGTGGGATCAAAGCCATTCAAAAATTTTGATGGGAAAATAATACGGTGAGACCTTGATTTATCGGATTTCACGGGAACGGAGGCCGAATCCGTTAAATCGAGCTACTGGGTCCCACTGAAGGGACCGAAGGATCGATCCGTTAAATCGCCATCCGATAATTCGAGGTCTTGCTTTACTCAAGATTGGATAGTAGAATTTCCTGACTTTTCCTTGAGTTCTCCAATTGAGTAATCTTCAATGACTCCTATAGAACCTGTCATCCTGATGACATTGCAATGCCCAAGGGAAAAGTACATACAACAAAACCACAGGAGACCGTCAGTTGAACTAATTGGGATATTTTGGTACCATATTGCACATTGCATTGAGGGGGGTTTCATTCCAGATCAATTCAAATCTCTAAGTAATAAGGAGTCAGCAGTTAAAATATTTTCTCGATGATGATACTGTGACTGATAAAAAACAATTCATTTCTGGGAAAACAGTATCTACCTGTTTTTGTTGAGGGATCTTAATGTGAAGGACCCAGCTATCTTGAAAGTGAGTGCTAGCATACCATGAAAACAGTCTAAGACAAAACGACAGTGTAAGTCGGCAAGCACATAACTCGGTTGGCGGCGTAGAGACTTCCTGAGTCATACTTTATTTGTTAATTGAAAAACTACTCAACGGCAATTCTTTAAAACTACCGTGATTTTTCTTCTCTAGGCAAAGAAAATTCTGCAAAAACTTCAAGGAATGATGCCCATTTGTTCTCCTTTAAAAAAAACAACATTGAGGCGGAGATTTTCAGACACCGCAAACGAGTTATGTGATTGCCGACTTACAGCGTCGAAAAATGGAAGACAGCAGAGTCCCTCTCTGAAGCCAGCTAATTCTGCCTCATTCTTCAGATAAATCCGTATTGCTGAAGCCGCTTTTGTCCACAGGATACTTCAACGCTTAAGTTTGATAATGCCTTGAGGAGGCAAGGGGTAGAGGAGTCTCAAGGTCAGGGAACAAATTAGACTGCTTTTGTAGTATGATAGCGCAGCGGCTACAGAGAGAGTGGTATTTTGTTTTAAAACAATTTTATCTCTGGTTGAGAGAAAAAATGGAATCTTCAAGTCGGAAAGTATAATAATTTTTCTTTGTGAAAAAAAGGAAATGCAATTGAAAAAACATTTTTCTCATAAAGCCTCCCTACCCCTAAAGAAACTTTAATTAATTACCTTAGTATCTGTACTTGGTTGAGTAATCTTTGGGGGATACAACCAAACCTCGACCTTTACGGGCACCCCTGTAGACTGTTTCTACAATATCAACCATTTCTTGCTTATCCTCTAGTGCCCAGTTGATTTTGTTATTGTTACCAGTTCCTAAATCAATCATGATGTGTTTGTTTCGGAAAAAGAACATCACCGTGCATGGATCGTACAATTCATACCTGTAATAGAGCAGAATTCTTGAATGAGTAACATCTATACTCCCTACATTTTTTAAGCTGAGATTCAGAGTCTTCAGTACTTCCTTAATTAAAACACAGGAAAATGCGGAAATAAGGCTAAAATACAAAATACAAAGGCAGGACGTTTCGGAACCTTACGGCACCATTGTTAACTGCTAAAATAGAATTAAAAATAAAAAAGAAATTAAAATAAAAACCAGCAAACGGTGTTACATGGTGAAATTGGTGTTGAAATGAGACTGCAGTGATAGCAGAAATCTGTTATCACTGCCGTCACATTTCAATACCAATTTCACCATGTAACGCCGTTTGCTGGTTTTTTTTTTAATTTCTTTTTTATTTTTAATTCTATTTTAGCAGTTGATAATGGTGCCATAAGGTACCAAAACGTCCTGCCTTTGTATTTTGCATTTTAGCCTTGTTTCCACATTTTCCTGTGTTTTCGGTTGTCATTTCCGTTTCGAGCTGATTTTACAAGTCTCTTTGTTTCCACTTCCTTAATTACTTATCTAGGCTGCGATCTCTTGAGTGAGGACCTCAATTTCAATAATAATTTTTCTATTTGACAGCATTCCCTTTGGAAGACTACATTCTGCCTTTCAGTAGGGTTGTCAATGATTCAATGTTTGTCCTAGAGACCCTGCATGTATGAAAGACCAGAGGATTCAACACGGGCCAAATTTAATTGTTTGATTTGATGTTTTTATGACCCAAACACAATAAGCTTTCAAAATTAAACTTGCGGTGTGCAAATTTCAAGAAAAGAGGGGGGAGCAATAAATTTTTTAGCATTTCCACATGCTTATACTTGAGGAAACATGGCACGACACTGTGTTGGTTACACAAGGCTAGGGATGTCGATACTTATCCGATACTTGCAAAGTATCGATACATAACGATACTCGGCATCGATACTCCACGATATCGATACCATGCAGTATCGATACCAAGACCCCAGTATCGACGGTATCGATACTTAATCTGATTTGGCCATGAAGAAGGCCTCTTTTTCTTTTTTAAAAAATTCTCTCCCCGCTATTTCACCCTAATTTCACCTTCATGATGCACTGTGACAAACGACGGAGTTATCAAGTTTCTCAAGATGATTATACTTCAATGTAAATGGTTAAAGCTCAGTTCGATAACTGTAGTTAAGGGCTCAAAATAGTTGACTAAGGACGCGAACAGGGCTTTTTCGAGAGAGGCGTAAATCTGGCGGAATTTAACGGCCGACAAACATATGCATACTCAAAATCACGGCATAATTCAGAAATAGTATCGATGGTATCGATACCTCATAAGTATCGATACTTCAGCTCGATGATCGATACCGGTATCGATGCTTAGAGTCGATACCAGTATCGATACCGAGTATCGATACTTCCCTGAGTATCGACATCCCTACACAAGGCCTTTTGCTTTGAAGCAGTTGATGCAATCGTTTGTCTGCTTATTCTGCTCAAATCTCCAGATAGTTTTAAAGAATTTTTGTCATTGTTATTGAAAAAGTTCTTCATGTGATCACAGGACAAATACCTAGTACAAGATAGCCAGCATTTCCTGGCAGTAGGTAGGACAGTTTTTCAGCACTTACATTTTGTTAAAATCAGGAACTTTGGTGATGTCTACTAAGTAAATTGTAGCAAAATTTTTCACTTTCTCTGCAATACTGTACAATACTTCATCCATTTTCATACATGTCGGGTCCCAATCGTGTCCAAACCGGATTACCTGAAAATCAGAGGGGGCAAAATAACTAACATTATCACAAAAAATTGAAGTCTTGCTACTTGTAAAATCAGACTTATTTAAACTTAACTGCCCTTTCAAACCCTCTTTCGCATTTTGTATCTTCCTGAAATGTAATTTCAATAATGAAGCAAGATAGTAAGTACTCCTAAGGGTGGTCTTTCCAATCCTTATGTAATTGATATTTAATTGCAATATGAGCATGTCCATCAGCTTTCTATTAAAGTTCTCTTTACCCAAATAACAGAGGCTTTTGAGCCATTTAATTTCAATCTGGTGAGATGCGGATCTTTGAATTCATGGATTACTAGCAAGACAAAGCGTTGACAAAGATTCAGCTATTGTTCACCAAGGACCCACCACAGATAACACTGATCCATTTGGGCTATACAAGTTCATTAACTGCAGCCTGATTGTTGAAATTTTTTTTTTGTCGGGACAACATAGATGACATAGGTTAAAAGGCGGAGCGTGATTGGTCGGCTATGTCTTATCGCTGCTTTGTCGTGCTTGTGTGGGGTTGAACTATGAACTCACGACAAGCTAACGGCACCTCATAAGTTTCCGACAGTGTGTCGTCCATTCCACCTGACAAAGGCACGACAAAGCAGCGATGAGACATAGCCGACCAATCACGCTCTGCCTGTTCACCTATGTCATCTATGTCGTCCCGACAAACAAAAAATTTCAACAATCAGGCTGCAGTTCGTTGTTCACTCCTGGATCATGTAGGAATAAAATTTCTATCTGTTATCACCTTTCGGCTTTTTCTAGGTTTGTTGTCAGAAAGTATTTGATTATATTGCGAGCTTCAAACTATTGGTCAGTGGCAAGAGCAAGTCATTTTCTTTTCACTTGCCCCAATGTGGTGCATTACAAGACTGCATTGCACTTCCGGGTTCCAGGGGACATAAAGAACACTCCGACAGACCACTTCCTTTTCCATAAAAAAGCAGACTTACCACAACTCGATCTTCCTCGGATAAAATCGCTTGATCTACTTGCCAACCATTGTGGAGATGAGGTAACATGTAAGACATTGTGACGGTTGAAAATAGACTTTGCGCACCTAGAAAGAACTTCCGAACAGATGTTAATTGTTAAGGTTTCCAAACTTGAACTACAATAAATGGTGGAAATTGAGAGCAGAAGCGGTGTTTGATAACTTATGAAAAAGAATGAGGAAAATTATGAAAAATTCACCAGACACCCGACTCGGAACTCAGAACTTCCAGAAATTGGTCAAAAAACGTCAAAACACGAAACTATTGTTGTTGAATTGTTGATATTGTTGGTCATGATAATGTGCAGGGTTGCCGTTTAGTTCATTATCATGTGCTACTCTTCAAACCCTCACACTCATCATCTACTCACCGGTGCCTGTTTCACTCACCGAATTCTATTTTATTTGGTTACCTAGCGCCGATTTTTGGAACATCCGTAATTTTTATCAAACGGTAAAATGCTAGAAAAATGGAAAACGAAAAAAAATCAATAAATAGACAACATTGATCAACAGAAAAAACCGATTAGTAAAAACGGTGAGTATCTGTTGAGTCAAAACGCTAAGTTGCTGATTAGTAAATGAGTACCGTTGTCAAGAAAAGTGAGTGAAAATTTTAGCAGTTCTCTCCTCTCTTGTCTCTTCACTTCACTGCTCAGCAGCTCAGTTTCAGTTAGTTTCTCAGTCGTTTCTGCTTTCTGCAGTCTCCTCCGTCACCAGTTTCGATCTGAAATTTGCCAACTCTATGATGTTTGTGAATCGTTCCGACTTTTTCCGATCCGTCAATTTCTAATCAGTTCTTGTGGTTCGTTCTTGCCGCGTGCCGTCCGTTTTGTACACAGTGGATTTGGATTCTTGAGTGATACCGTCCGAATTGACTTCGAAACCTCACCGAATATTTCCTTCGAGTTTATTTCGCTGTTCATTCGCATGGTCCGCGAATTTGCAAAATAATGTGCGGTCCAAAGTATTTGCCCCTCCTATTTATAAGTGAGCGCTTATCGTGAGTAAATCATGTGTGTTTCAAGCCATTGAGTGTTATCAGTTCATCCTCAAATCTTCATTTTGTTCTACGTAAGTCTTGGCATCTTATTCTTACATTTGAAAAGTATTTTATTTTCATGCTTTTGCATGCCCATCCGCCTCATTTTCGACCTTTCGAACCGCAAATGCCGCAAGAGTTTCTCATTTTAAATTTTCCATGCCCCTTGTTCTCTTTCCCATTGAGATTCACTTTTTCCTAACCTCCAACCATGGAGGTCGTGAAAGCGAGAGATTCCGTCCAATGAAGCTCAAATCTGAATCATAAGCACACCTACATCGTGAGCACACTGATCGTGTAAGCCACGTTGATAAATTTTTCATGTAGATGCATTTTAGATGTTCGGAACCCTCAATCCTTCTTCAGTAGCCTCTGACTGATTAGGCCAGGTGCACTGATGTATGGCTGGTTTTTCCGTCCCCTGATTGAAAAGCCATTCGTGTTGAATGACTATCCTGAAGTTTCAATGTCTCTATCCACTCAATATGTCTTCTAAAGGAGCTCAAGCCAAGTTCACACTTTTTTATTATTCAGCGGACTCAAAATTGAGTGGATAGTTTAAGGCAATAAAATTTGATTCAACTGCTGTTGCCGTGTGATGTTGTCAAACAGAATTCAGGTATCTCTGCTAGGTACTGGTTTCAGAAGATACAGCTTTTGCTAATGCTGGTAAGAAAATTTGGTTTCAACTTCCCTGCCAGTTGGATGATAAGTTGACGTTACATCCAAGTTTCTGTTTAATTTTTCATCCGATTGTTTTCTTGTCAGTATCATACAATTTTACTTTTCATTGCGCAAAAGCGGAAGAATTGTTGAATGTAAAATTGAAAAATCGATTTTCACTGACTAGTCCATGGAATTTTAAAGTGCAGTTTACACTGCTGGCTAATAACTGCTGAGGTAGAGGATCTTTGTCTCATAAGAGCTAGGATAGAAGTTAGTATCTTAAAAATGTGGAAAAAGAAGAGTCACAGAAGGTTTTTGTTTGTATTGTCTTAATTCTGTCCCCAAATGTTTTCAATGTTTAAAATTTTTTCTATCATCTAGATATCCTCTGATCTCAGCATTTTACTGTGTTAGTGCGCTTATCGAGTGAGAAAAAAATCTGTCATTTTGATTAGTGCATCTTGATGGCCAAAGTGAGAAACCACGTACCTCTATTTGCAACATCGTAGACCTCCTCCTATACTTCATATTTTCATTGGAATACTAGTTAATGGAAATTCTTGCAAATCTCTTTTATTTTGCATCCCTGTGAGCAGAATATTCTGCATAAATTTCAAGCCATAAAGTTGGCTTGTTCCTTCTAGGAAAAAAAAATTGGAGTGAAAGTCTTGAAACTCAACCATGGAGATAAGTGGTTTTGCACTTTGACCATCGATCTATCCTGAAATGAAAACAGAAGTTCCTCTGATGTACTCTAATAGTGTGTACTTGATTATACTTTGCGAGGACCTCGTGAATTGCTTCCTTTTATCTTGTTCATGGAGGAAAATTCTGTCAATGTTACTCAGAGAGTATCTTAAATGTTGACTTTTTTCTCCCGTTTTTTCACCGGAAAAAAAAACGTTTATCAGAAAATTATATTGCCCCTTCATTTTCGGAGTTACGCAACCCGCGCTGCAAATGTTCTGCCAGCTATTCATGACAAATTGGTCACCCTACTGTATACTTAAGAGGAAGATGGTGTGACCACTTTGATCTAGTCTCCCCCAAGTAATAACCATTAACTAGCAGAAAAATGTGAGGTACCCAAGAAACAATGATACATTCCACTTGAGCAACATTGAGGCTCATTCTCAACAATGTGAAGAGGCCTTTAATATCGCAGAGCTTTGCTGACAGTCAAAAGTAACTACTAATCGTGAAAACTGCTCTTCAAGTGCTAATCCAAGCCACTCAACAGTAAACCGAGATAGAAGCATCGCAAAGCATCGATAAGAACAAAGGAGAAGCATCTTGCGTTTCAGTTTCAGCCTCTCGAGCACATGGTCGTAGAAGTTCCTGTAACTTGTCAGTTGAAACCAAACTTCAAAAGAAAATGAAAAGCCGAAAGTAGTGTAAAGAGGCTCAGAAGCGGCCGTCTATGACAGCGATAGCTTCAAATTCATGAATTTTATCATCCGTGGCCCAATAATTGAAATTAGAATATTAGACAAAGCAATAGGCAAAGAAGGTAGGGAAAAGGGAGCGTTCCTATTGGTAGATGCAGGTAGTTAACGTCAACGTCGCTAACGGGAGGTCCGCGGTTTCGCATGTTGATCGTCGAGAAGAAAACGAAAAGGTAAAAAAAAAGGCATAAGCTCTCTCTGTCTTCCTCTTCGGTTTTGAATAATGATGACTTCGAAGTTTCTAAAATAACTAGGTATCATTATATTTGCTACAAACGATTGAGCCAACTGGGCCTTTTGAATAAATGTATTTAAAACAACAAATGAAAACTAAGCAAAAGCTACCAATTCAATTTTACAAATTCGTAAGTACGATTATGTAACATAAGTTGAGTGACCAACTATTACCTATTTTAAATACAATGTCACGAAAGACACATGCTAAGTTAGGCACGAAATTAAGGACGATGCCTACCGACGGATTCACAATGTCGTTTATCGATTCAATCAAAGTTCATGGAGCAATAAAGTGCGTGTTCTCCGGATAGGTAACTATTCGCGCTTCCCAGTAGGTTTGTTGCCTATGCTCGAAGTTGAAGGCGAATCTTAAGCGGGCGACATCTGTCAAGCTAGCGGGTTTACGCCGGTTTTTTAGCTTGGCAAAATGTATGGTGATTTCTGTTTTTCGAATGGCAACTATTCGTGCTCTCCGGTATGTTTGTTGCCTATATCGCAAAACTGAAGGTGAATCTTAACTGAGAGATATTTCCACGGCGTAAGTGCGCAATCACACATCTCGTTCGCGGTGACTGAAAATCTCCGCTTCTATGTTATTTTTTTAAAGGAGAACAAATTGACATCATTCCTTGAAGTTAATGCAGAATTGTCTTCGCACAGAGAGGAAAAATCACGGCAGTTTTAAAGAATTGTCGTTGAGTAGTTTTCCGTTTAAAAAATACAGTATGATAGGAAGTCTGCGACGTCGCAAACCGAGTTATGCGATTGCCGACTTACACTGTCGATTTGTCAAGAAATTCGCGCATTGTCTCTTAGTTTCTCCAAAAATGGTGTGAGATGAAAGCGTGTTTTTCGGAGCCAACCATTCGCATATTTTTGTGGCCCGTGCGGCGAATTTGAAGACGAACTTTAAGTTAACATCAAGTATCCGTCAATATGTCTACGCAAATACGCACGGTCTATCAGTTAAGAAAAGTTTATGGAGCGAGATGAGTGTATGTTTTTCGAAAAGATAAATATTCGTGCATCCCCGGGTTGTGTCTTGCCTTTGCTGCGAACTTCTGTAAGTGGACGATATCGCACATCTTTCATGCATTGGTTCTCGTACTCGGACTTCGACCCTATTTTACCAATGAATGCCAAGAGTAAAATCAACACCGCGGAAAGTAAAATCAACCGCGGACTTTTCTGTAGAATTTATTCATATTTTACGTCATTCTTAACGGATTCATGTCTGCACAATTGGCGAGGCGTGAATGATCGATTTTCGGTATTTCCTAATTTGGAGCTGTGGTGAAGAATCGATTATTAAGGTGTTCGTTGCGAACACCCTGCTTATCGATCCTTTTCCATAGGTTTAAATAGTAGATCAATCGATGTATCGCAAAGCACGCCACGCCACCGGTCTTCACGGTCTTAGGATTGAACCCTGCATAGCATTGTTGTTTATTACGCGTAATTTTCTAAAGATTCAAATCTGATTATTAGATTGTCATTCTAGGTGGCGGTAGCCACCCCGGCCCAATCCTAAAAAACTCCCCCTAAAAATTCTAAGGGACAGAGGGGGAGAGAGAGAGAGAGAGAGATGAGGGCTAGAACCCAAGTTTTATATGGTGCTTCAAGAGCTTCGTACGACCGTTCTTGTGCCCTTATAGGGGGATCCTTCAAAAAAAATTTATTTGGGGGGGGGGAGGGTTGCAGAAAACGTCCCCTTTCACCTGGGAGCATTAAAAAGATTCCAAGTCTTCATCTCAATTTGTTAAAAAGTTATTAAAGTGATGCCTAATACCGGTGGCGCGGAACTTTATAGATCACTCCACATGAGAGTCGGGACTTTCTGAAAAATAATGCTGTGATAGCACTCGTGTGAAAAAAAAAAGACCCGTTGAGAAATTCAATCTTCGGGCTTGTTGGCTGCCAAAGGGAGTCATCGCTCATTCCGTGAATGATTGGGGGAGGGCGAGTTTATTAGTACCAATCGGGACGTTCAGAGAGCAATTCATAAAAATGAGAAATGCCCATGAAAATTCAAGCATTTGTTTTGCTGCTCGCCGCATCGAAAAATCAGTAGCGGCCACTGCTGACAGTGAGCCTCCTTTCTGAGAATTTTTGCGCCATCTTCTTATTATTCGCCGCCCAATTAGCGGGCCTTCAGACGCACATAATCGCACAAGTACTTCACGCACTGCTTAAATAGAGTGCCCGTCGAAAGTGGATTCTTTGTCGGTCCCGCCGTTTCGCGGGCTGTGACTTAACGGTAAAACGACCGATGTTCATCGGATCGTGTGCGAATGGCAGCTGTTATGCCGTGAACCCGTTCAGTTGTTGAAGAGCCGTATTTTATACCCGGCTAGTTTGAACTTGAAATTCGGAGATAACGGGATAAATAATCAAGCACCGCAGTTTCAGTTTTCCTAAGATCCGCACAGCGTATGACGTATATGAGCCGGCAAAAATTTTTCCTAAGATCCGCATAGTGTATGACGCATACGAGCCGGCAAAAATTAGAAATGACCCACAAATCTGAAAATATTTACCCACTTGGAATTTTTGTTGGTGAGGAAAAGATAAGGGAAATCAACGAAATTTGCTCAAATTTGGTATGACCAAAATATGATAAAATTTTGGAGGCATCTGTCACATTGGTAGGCGAATCCTCCTGTATAGTTAGGATTCGAATCCAG